TACCTGAAGGAAACATCTTTTGCCCAAGCCCTGGACTCTCTGCCACCGGTGACAGAGGCACTCTTGACAGTAAGGTTACCCACTGAGCTGATAGAACAAGCAGCTAAGCATTCAAACGTCGATCCATTGGCAGCCTTTCCCCCAGCAAAGAAAACTCACCTAGACAAGACCACCTGATGGCACACTCAAACAGGTGTTACAGTGCTACTATGCCTCAAATAAGAGAAAAAAACTTCATTCTGCAACCATTAAACTACAACCTTTTTAAAATGCCCTGAGTACTACTTGAGTCTTTACAGTCAACTTTGGTTGAGATACTTTAAACAAGCACTAAACTGCTCATGGATTAACCCCTAAAGACAGTTAAGGGAATTCAGTATGAATGTAAAAGGCTTAGCTGGGAAATTTCAGTTAAAACTGAGATACCAAAGAACAGGAAGACTGCCATATCCTTAATTACCCACAATCCTCTATGATCGCTCTGTACTTAAGAATCACATCCAAAATCAATAATGTGGTGAAAAGGCCATATGTGTAACTGAACTTCACCTCCCTGTATAGATCAAGTGAAACCAATCATTTAGGACCTCACTCTGCTTATGCAGCTTTCAGATTGCTCTGCTAAAAGCAATATGATGGCAAATACTGAGTGCCATTCCAAGACTCACCAACTACTGAAGAAAACACTATCTACTTCAACATAATGACATATGATGGTGGTTAAACCACTCACATTTATCAACCAGGAGCACACAGATGCTCAATTGTTGAAGTTTGGCTGAGGAGTTGCTTGCTAAGCTGCTGTAACATATTCACCGAGGATCTTATGAGTAAATACTAAGAGCTCCAACTGAACAAAGTTCAGGAGGTTGGTGTTCCTAATTCTTTGGATGCTTCTGATTACTAAGACTTAGTAGAAAATGCAGTGCTCTGTGATGCTCCAAAGAAAAGTTACTATGCTTCTACACATGCTCTTTGATAACACATGCTGCATCTCATGGCCATACCATGACAATTTCCTGAAGGTTACTTGCCTCTGTGGTGTTCAGGATGTGACACGAGGTTTGCAGAAGCTAAAGGAAGAGTAACAAACAGTTTTACAGGACACTTTCCCTCTCCGTATATTAGAGCCGACTGTATGAGTACAGCGCAGCAGTACAGAGCACTCAAAAGGTTAAGATTATCCCAAATTTCCCCCTAAGAACAGATACTGCAGCACCAGCCATTCTTCACTGCGGGTCTCACTCTATGGAGCAGGAAGCCGTTTTCTTTCCCTACCACTGCAAGCCTTGGCCAGGAGTCCCAAGTGACAGCACTGTGGGGCTGAGCTCCATGGAAAGCGCCGTGTAAGAGAAGTGATTTCCTGGTATGAGAAAACTGCCGTGGAGCCAGAGCACCATCACCTGGGGATAGGCCTGCACTGCCCCTTCCCACTCATCCGATCACAGGGAGCACAAATATTTTATCCCTTCCTCAGCAGCACGCAGCTTTGTATTAGAACACACTGCATGTAATTAGATTTAGAATGAAAAAGTAATTTTCTCAGTATTCTTTTTACCGTTTCATCACTATTTTCCCCATCGTTCTAGAACCATTTGCGTTAATTTTTTCTTTTCCCTGAATTTCACAGGAGGGGATTTTCAAAAGCACTAGACCTTCAAGTGAGTTCTGGAAAAATCCCTCATCCAGAAATATACAAATAAATACCTAACCAGCCTTGCTACTACAGTCAGAAAGATAAACATAAATCCAACTGTGACTAAAATTCAATGGTTTTACAACTTAAAAAGTCCATTGAAAAGGAAGATGATGGCTGTTTCACTGCATGTTACCTGTACTATTATTCTAACATATTTCTTAACTGCTAAGTTAGAGGGACATTCCTGCCCAGTGAAGGTTTATCTCTGCACCCCTTGCAATCAAGCAGGATGTGATGACTCCATGTACTATCTCGTTCTCCAAGGCACCCAACAAACCTGCCATGGGAGAACAGCAGAACAGAACTCTTCCCCAAGAGGAGAGCATTGAAATCAGGTACTGCAAGCTGGAAGCTGGGAAATAAATGAAAAAATCCCTGTAATCCTGTTGCCCTGAATGACATGAAATGGTTCTCTACTTAAAACTTCTAGTGCTTGATCTACAACAGCCCTGGTCCTCACCACTCCCTCTCCTCTTTCCCATTGAAGCACATGTTGTGGACATCCATATCATGGGACAGAGAGGCAACTATTGAATTCCTCATCCTGCACTAACAGAACACAGAGGAAAAACTACAACCCACAATCCTGGCCTCAGCTGTAGTACAACATGCATGCACATAGTGTTTGTGCATTGTACTTTATGATGGCATTGAAGAGCTCCCCTGACCAGCAGCTCAGTGCAGCATGCACAGCTCCCACAATTACTAGCAATCAGTCACTCCCCTTGACATTTTAGACATTTACAAATTCACCTGGATTCCTCTATTCTCTAAATAACAGCACATTGTGTCTCTTCTCCACTCATGACCATCTTCCCTAAAAAAAAGTTATTTTAGCCAACACCTGATTTTGCGTGCTACTGCTGTGAAGAGGGGGATACACAGAGACAGTACTGTACAGAGAGACAATGTGAGAGGAAGGAATTTTATACACGAGACAGATTAGAAGCAGTCTGGCCTTCCAGTTGCCTTGCAGGCCATAAGCAACCAAAAGCTTCTTGCAACACAACAAACCCAAACCACGCAGCAGGCTTTTGGTATCTGTCTCTGACAGACTTGAAGTATCAGATCATCCTAGTTCGTGTCTGCTCCTAAATGCCTGATGAGAACATGAAACTGTTCCAATTTCCTCTGCTTACCTTACTTCACGTGCTCCCAGACTGCTGCAAAGCAGGGGCCCAGCACAGGGCAGTGCACCTGCAGAACTGTCACTGCAGAACTCAGCCCAGGCACGAGCTTGGTTAGTCTCAATAACAGAGTACTCAGACTTAGGAGTGGGGGCTGCATAGCTTTGAGTGGCTAATGGAGCCGTAATGGAGCATTTACCAAGTGATTTTTAAAGTAAACATCATCGATTTTCTTGCAAAATGTAGCACTTAAATGACGCATTCAAGGAGTGGCTCAGCTACCTGGTCCCTGGGGAGCAGAGAGGTGCCACACAGAGTAACTTTATCAATCACTGCAGGCACTGTGGTCTCTGTGTCCATCCACCTGTTGCCTCCAGCTAGATTTAAGGACCATTAGGATGAAGCAAAGCAAGGAGACTAAAGGATGCCCATCTTCCATCGTGGATGAGTGCTCTAACTAGGCTTTCAAACAGTTACAGGGGTGCATCTCTTTCATGTTCAGAAGACTCATACTAGGAACTCTTCTTGAAAGTTTTAACCAAGCAACTAAATTTCAAGAAAATATTTTTCTCATTTTGAGAAGCAAGTATTTTTTAATATAAAAAAAGTCACTGAAAATTCACAACCAGCTGCAACTATTATCCTAAGTTATTATCCTATTCCTCTGGGCAGTAATTTAATTGTATTTCACAAAAATGTTAAACCAAACTTGCTGTACTCTCTCCTTGACTTGGCTGCTCCAGTTTTGTGCAGTCTCCTTGGTCAGCAGCAGCTCAGCTCTTCCATGGCAAAGGAACGAGAACTGGTTGGATTTGCTGATTGTGGGAGGTACCACACACTCCTCTGCCTTTGGAAACTGGGCTGCTTTCAGCAACTGGAAACAATTTGCAGTTCCCCAGCCAGAGTTTTTGCAAACACTTAGAATCTCACTCTCTTTTCCCAAAGGAAAGGGATTACAGAACTGTTTTTCCCTAAACCACCACATGATTCACAGTCTCTTTTGAACCCTTCTACAGGCAGGCCACAAAAAACAGTCTATCAACCAGTTTTTCAATATGGATTTCTAATATTTATTACTAGTCTCACCCGAAATTATGTCAAACTGGTCTCAACAGAATTATACCAAACTGTCACAAAAGGGGTTGGTGGAAACAATTAATAGCCATGGGGAAATCACACCCAAACTAGGCCCAGATCCCAGGCTAAGAGTACAAAAGAGAAATCACTGCAGACCAGTAGATTAAATACTAGAAGTAACAAAATAATGAAGTCAGTTAAACCCCTTGAGAGTAAACCCACTGAGGGAGAAAGCCATCAAAAGACAGTGACAAAGCAGCTGCATGAGAGGGTATTTCAGTAGACCAACACCTTATAATATGTCCGGATTTGTTACTGCTTCTCTCACCAAAGGACAGTCAGTAAGTGAACACAGTTAGCAAAGCAAACACGAGCACGCACACAAGATGATTGTGCTGGCACTGCACAGCTCATTGTTTTAGGGCACAATTGACATGACTCCTCTGAAGTAGATTAAATGCAGCCACACCCAAATGGGCAAGATGGACAAAGTGCTGGGGAAAAGAAACAGAAGAATGAAATTCAGCAGTCAAATGTTACCCATGAAAGGCTTTTTAGTGAACATTTCAACATGCATCTTTGGTTATTAGAGGAAAACCAGAATGTACATCTAAAATTTAAATAAAAATTCACAAAAAATAAAGTTGTGAAAAAAGCCACTTATCTGCATTAATGGCTATGAGGAGAGTCCATACCAAGAACTTCTATTAATAGTCAGACTCTCAATATTTTGACAAAAAAGGAAGGATCACTGAACTTTTAGAGTTACAGTGCTTCTCCTAGACAGATTTTAGAGTCTGCAGGCATTTATCTCCACTTTCTAAAGCAAGTACAACTGTCTCTTGCTATATCAAAAACTGAAAAACTGACAGCAATACTTAGGCATACTACAGAAAACATTCTGCGTGACTTCCATCTGGTATTCATCAATCTAAGTAACACATGTTAGTGTTCTTCCACAGTCTAGTGAAAGTAATCTTCTTACCCTCCTCGATGCAAGCATCACATATTTTTGCGTGAAACAGATATTTTTATTTATTAGTTTTTAACCTTCTCTACAGACTTGTAATCTAGGAGAAGGCCTTCTGGACATTCCTCTTGGAAGTACGAGACCACTAGGTGGTATTACGTCCAATTTTTCCAAAGCAGAAGTCTATCTATGAAGGGAAACAAAGAATCAGGTTACAGAGAAAGAACCAGGTGGTTTGCACCACTGAGAGATTTGAGGCTGTCCCTCTGCCCATGGAGTAAAAGTCATCCTCTACTCGAACAAAAAACCAAAATTCAAACACGCTCTGTTTTCCATCATTAGTAATCTTAAATTTGCTGCAAGTCTTAAAACCACATGGAAAACCTAAAGTTTTTCAAGATTAAGGCAATAAAATCCTAAGAGGATTCTGATTTCTCTTCGTTAACCAATATTTTCTATCATTACAGACAGTTATTACAGTAGAATTTCTGGCCAGCTTTTTCACAGAGGAAAACAGTTATGTCCATGTGATATTAACTACAGAGATGTGTGTATTTGCCAAAACATGGACTGAAGGTTTAAAGAATTACCACAGTTGCATTTTTAAATGTGAAGCGAATGGATGAGCCAGCTGAAGTCTTATAAAATAAACAAACAACAAAAAAAACCCCTCACAAAATCCCACAAGTAATCAAATTTCTGACTGATAAACCACTACTACAGAGAGAGTGTGAAGTAAAGCCCCGTGAACTCACGGCAAGACTCTCTTCCACATAAATGGACACAGACCATGTTCCAGCTCAGGGTATGAACAGAGAGTCTGCTCAAGTTTCAGCCAGGACATGTGTAGCAGAGCTTGCTCTGCCAAGGAGGTACAAGCTTGGGTTTGGGGATTTGTTTTTTCTCATTTCTTGTTGATTTTGAAATTATTGCTATTAAATAAATTAAACAAGAAACCACAGACAATGTTAGGAGAATAGACAAAGGAATTCATCAACTATTACGAACCAAAACACGCAAAAAAAAAAAAAAATCTCAGTATTTTGGACTCAATTAAATACAGTCTTTTTTCCCCTCTTCATGACTATCTTTTTTTTAATCTAATGTCACAGTTGTGGTCTCTGCATTCCATGGTATTAAACTCCTTGAAAATGAATGAGAAACACACAAACCCAAAGAGCAAGCTGGCAGCAAAACTGTACCAACTGCAGGGAAGTATAATAAAGCTTTCAACATCACCAGCCAAGAAAAATCCAGTAAGGATTATTTCTAGAGCTTTGTATTTCACAGGAAAAAATTTTCACCAGTATAGCCAAAAAACATGATGTGGAGAAGACATCAGTGTGGAAAACCTGATCCAGATAGACTTTTCTGAGCTTTCCTGCTTTCCCGTAGGTAGCAGTGTATTTATCACTGTAGGATATGCTTCAGATATTTAAACACAAATGGTTTTTTTTGAGAAACATGGACTCTGCTGAGAAACCAGACTGACGAGATAGAAACAAATTTATCTAAAAGTAAGCTTGAGGAGCACAAGGAAATGCCACACAGCAGACACCTGAGCTAGTTCATTCTGTCTCTTGTTATGAGTTCTTCATTCCCCATATCATTCCTGTAGTCCTTTATTCCCAATTCCAGTGTGAATTAATCTTTCTCAAAAGACAGTTTATAATTTTGCAACTACAGTTTAGTTAAGATCCTCCTAACAAAACAGAGAATCGGTGTCATCATGACTGATCTTTGTTCTAAATAACACAGGAGAAAAATATTACATTATCAGAGTCTTTTCAGTGAAAAATCATAAAGTTCTCATCCCTTACAGCATGACACAGCTTCAGCAGTGTGTTCCTGCAACAGGAACATCACTTCTGTTTCAATGTGACTACTTCTTTTAGAAAAGAAGTCACAAATTCCTCAGTGAAGGATCCCCCTTGTCTAGAGGGATGTCCTTCTAAGGGTTAACTACTTCAGTGAAAAAATTTCATACCAAATTTATAGTTTCAATAAAAGTTTCAGATTTCATTTCACTGAAAATGTAGGCCAGTTGTAACAAGGTGACAGTAAAAGCCAATTTAGGAGTAGAACCATGGTCATATTAATTACCAGAACCTATATTTCCCTGGGAGAATTTTTGTTTTGTTTTTGGGGGGTTTTTTTGTGCTGGTGTTTGTTATTTTTTAAAATAGAAAAATCTTCAACCACGAGAATCATCTTCCAAAAGTAGCTATCAAACTGCTGGTCCAGCTCAAAGCAATGTGACTGAAGGAATAACACAACCACCTGCAGAGGTGAGGTTGCACTGCTCAATTATCCCCACCCACCAGAACCCAGGTGACGCAGATCTTCCTTCACGTCCCCAGACAGTCTTCCTACACATCCTCCTTTCTGCGTTCTTAAAGACTTATATTCATATGAACTTGCAAGAAGGGGTTCAAATGTAATTTTCATACATGGGAGCCTTTCATGCATAGACATCTTCCATAACCAACGACTTCCCTCATAAATCAGAGGAAATCTAAACTGCACATGTTAATTTTACCATATACATGCTTTGGAACAGAAGAAAACCCCAGTTATTTCAGTTATAACTGCCCTTTCTTCTGGGGGGCAGAACACAAATTCACTTGCAGGACAGATTCCAGTGAAATGAATAGAAACAGAAGCAATGTTTTATAGCAGTATCATATTAATGATTTGGAGACTAATCGCGTCTTATCAAGCCTTGAGCATCAGACAGACAGGAAAAAAAATGGAAGATGTGTCCTCAAGCTGCATATTTCAGCAATCTATTTAACATGTACTTTATTTTTATATCATAGCACTGTACACGTTCAGTTGTATATTCTCTAGAAGTAATTAAGTTATAACTTGACACCTCACCATGATTCTCTTTTTTTTCCACCTAAATTTTACATCAAGCAAATAATATAAAAGTGAATAAAAAAATCTATGAAGGTCCTTTTAACCATGACAGTCTGTCACATTGTGAAAATCAGAGCAGATCAAGAATTGCTCTTACTTTCTACTTGCCTCTCATTCAAACACATGGATTTAAACATTTACATGCCTATTCATAATTTATTGGAGAATTTGCAGCTCATGACAAATACAGGTCTAGCCTGCAGGAAAAACAATGACTAATAGTTGAAAGAAAGCATTCCAATTAGTCACTAGGAAGTACACCTATGCTCATTTCTTGGTCCTCAGGTGGCAGTAAACTCCAATAGGGAAGTCTGACATCAAATTTGTCGTCCGGAAAAATATATCACTTTCAAATGGCAATAGAAGTTAGATCAGAGACTGAATTTCTCTCCTGGTACATACCAGTAGGAAAGTTTATCTTTAAAGAAGTTCCCAAAGATCTGGACTCCTTAAGGAGGTGGTGGGGAAAAGCTGCGCTCCCAGTTGTGTTCCTGCTACTGGGACGTGCTGCATTCTGCCTCAGAGAACCTGTATTTTCTGTTTCCAACGTCAGTGTTAAGGGTAGAGACAGTGGAGCCAGGAGATGCAGAGGAAAGCTGTTGTGCCTTCCACAAGGATCCCACTCTGGCCACATTTGCAGGACACTATTCTGAAAAGACCATTTCTCTCAGCTCTTTCCCCTATCACAACAGGGTAGTCTTGCCAAATGCCATTCAAAATATTCTTGGGTGCCATCTTCAGCATCATGGAATCCTTAGATTCATGGATAGGAAACACATTCTCACTCAGTCAGAAAGCATTGCATGTCTCCATATTGGGCTTACTTTTGTTCCAAGATTGTGTTCACCTCCATGATCCTCCTTCCAAGACATTGTGCACCTTCAGCCTAAATCCAGATTTTTGAGATAAATAAAAGCCAAAGTTCACTTGTGCTCTGTAAACTTAGTGCAACGTAAGGGATTCACAGAGTCCCAGAAGGGTTTGGTTTGGAAGCGACCATAAGGATGATCTACCTCCACCCCTCTGCCATGGCCTGGGACACTCTCCACTAGACCAGGCTGCTCCAAGCACCGGCCAGCCTGGCCTCTAACACTTTCAGGTTGTATTTCAAGGGGCATTTACCAAAAAAAAACCCACTGAAGACAAACCAAAGTAGATGTAGATTTACCTGAGGGCTAAGGGAGTCATGAGGTCTTTTCTTTCCACTTCCTCTCCCTTGTTAGATAAGCTGGTATAGAGCTGGCTAAGCATGTGCTTCATCTCATGCCACAGCCATGGTCAGAGGCTGTGCAATCCAGATGAATACTAAACCTACTCCAGTTTCCAGTTGAATGTGGCCACAATTACCATCTTGCTTTGGAAAGGGACAGGGACCATGAAAACAGCACGTCTAGAAGGGGTTCCTCATATTAAAATATCTATTGCATTGAAAGAATTTCCCATTAAGAGTTTTCAGTGTATTCTAGTAGTCCAGATGATAATTTCTAGGATTTTAGTACAGAATTTTTTTACCCTCTTCTGGAGGATCAGGAATTTATGGAATCTGAAATATGGCCTGGCCGGTTTTTAAGTCAAGTCCCTTCTGTCTGGACAAGTGGCTAGGAACAAGGGAATAACAGAAAGATTTGACAAATTCCAACAGCCACCTCCATTCAAAATAAAAAGCATGTTGTCTTCCTAAATACATTATACTCAATCTGCATGTTAATGAGAAATATATAAATAGAATTAGGCGTTAACTGACATTAGATTTTTTTTTTTTAATGGGGAGGAGATGAGGGATGTTGTTATTTAGGGAGTTAAATTCTAACATCTGTTTTTAATTCTACCAGCTTAATCGTCTGTTTATACCTACAGGCTTTCAAGACATCATTCAACAATGCTAATTAAAGCTGACAAGTTTTGTTCAGTGTGAAGCTGCAAGCCACTTACTCATGTCGGTGCTGTCACTGCTGCTTGACGAAGAGATGACAAGGGGCAGAGTGCCCCCAAAGGGATGAGAAGAGGTTCACCTTGTCTCCTGTCAGACAGAAGAGTGAAGAAGTGACGGATGGCAGTGACCATTGCTCTGGCTGTAAGCCTTTGTCCCTTCTCCAGGCTGGGTCAGAATCCTCCAGTTTTTTACCATGGCTAGCCTAAAACACAAAGCCACAGCAATATTCTCTACTGTATTTCTAAAATGCCATAGAAACGGGATTCCCATTTAACAACACATTGTAGACATCCACAACACACATTCTGTTTTTCATTAGCAGTAGGAATCCCATCTGCAGCAATGCCCCCCAGGAAACTTACTATTTGTTCTCCAGTCAGAACAAGATTCAGGAGAGTGGCAGCGTGCATGGGAGTAGACCATGCCTAGGAAAGCATCTGCAGAAGGGACTGACTTGGCTCAGGCAAAATGATGCACCTGATGCAAGAAACCACGGACAAATGACAAAAAGTTTATTCACTGCTTCATATGCTGGACTTCAGACTCCATAGATCCAAACATAGATGTTATTGGCTACTCATTTACATATTTTCTCCTTAAACCAAACAAAAAACCCCATGTCAGTCAGAGAATACTGGTGGAGGGTCAAGCAAGCAGGCCAGGCACAGGCTGTTATAAAATCCCAGCCTCTGAACTCTTTGCATCATGCAGGCACACCATCCCCAGTGGAGTAGGCTCATGGGTGATCGCTGGGATCCACCCCAGGCTGCACAGGCTGGAGACGTGCCAGGAGGACAGAACCCAGAGAGGGAACGAGTTAAACGGTAGCTGTACACATTGTGACTCATTGACTTTTTGTCACACAGAGGTTTATCTTATTTTTCCCCACATAGGAGTTTCACAACCAGAATAGACTTTTTTTTTTTCAGTAGCCAACATGCTTTTCAAGTGTGTTTTTAAAGCTGTCAGAGTCTGGAAGAGGCTTTTTGTTACCCAGTGTGGCAGTTAGAGCCACATTAGAAATCTAAAATCCAATTTTCAGGCTTTCCTCCACCCCTTCCCACAATTTATCCTAACACCAGAGAGAAACTTTCAGACCAGAGGCTTCTGTAGGGGAAGAGGGAAGTATATACATTTATTTACACAAATAAATACTATACAACTAAAGGCAACTATATATATATATATATTACATTTCTATCAGTCAGTCCTTTCAAGCCCCTCCTTTAACTTTAGTCCAGGAGCAGCTTTTCAAGGCTGATACGTAACACAGTCTTTTGCTGTGGGAGTGTTCTGGGTTCCCCCTCACCAAGTTCTAGTTGTTTGTTGCAGTGTCTCCTACGACGGATTAGTGGGATGGGGGAGACCTCCAGGCCTTAGGCTGCCAGCCCCATTACCTGCGAGGTGAATGCCCTTCCCCCCGCCCCAGCACGTGGCCCAGCGACCCCGCAAGGAGCCCACACAGACCACCTGGGAGGGACGGACGAAAGAGGAAGTTTATTGTGGGGAAGGGGTTTATAAAGCTTTTAGGAGGGTCAAAAGGGGGCCAATCACAAGTTCAGGGGCACAGAAAAAAACATTCAGGTAAGGGGTCAACAGCCAACAGGAAGGGGTTAACAAGGACCAATGAGAAACACCTCAGAACACTTTCCCAGGACACTTGTATGGGAGACAAGTCCCTCACAGGGGGTGTCGGGAAGAAGAAACAGTAACCTTGCAGAAAATACCAAAAGCCATTTTGAAAACATGTTTAAACCACATTAAAAACTTCTGTCTCCATAACATTTGAGCTGTTTTCCTCTTTCTCCTCACCAGTCCATCTCTGACAGGACTTCTTCCATCCTGCATATGGCAAATCCATTGCCACAGTCTCCTCCTCATGAAGTCCAAGAAGATAGCTTTGAGTCCTCGTTCTTCTGCTGCTGTGTGATCTCTCTCTCTCTCTCTCTCTGCTTCATACCTCGGTTCGTAGGCTGCTGCAGTGTAGTTCAGCTTATCAAGCGTCCACGTCCTGGAATGTTGATTTCTCCTCGGGTTTTCGGTTGTCTTGCGTTTTAGTTCACGGCAGAGACATCCTCTGGGCCCCCCTCTCTCTCTCTCTGGGGTCCGTCTCCAACTCTTGCCTGGGATTTCCTCCCTAGCAATCGAGCCTCCTCCGGCTCGTCCACTTGGCTCTGCTGCAGTGCTGAGCCTCACATCCACTCTCACTAAACAGCGAGAGGGAAAAACACAGCCCTCCTCTGCAGCTTGGCTGCAAAGGTGGGGGAGGAAGAAGAAGAGGGCCTGGCCGCAGGGCCTGCCTCTCTCTCTCCCACTTACCAGTTGTTTGTGAGTCGCATCCCCCACAAACATGCACTCATTCCAATGCTGTCTCTAACTCTGGCATAGGCAGAGTTAGGGGGGCCACAGGGCTCCCCTCCTCCCCCCCAGAGGGGGAGAGAGGGAGTCCAGCCACCCCTTGGCCTTCTCCACCTACAGGCAGCAGACACCAATAGTAAAACAACCAAGACAGAACTGCCAACCATTTCCGGTGCTGTGATATATGATTTTGAGCAGAAGCGAACAACATGGACAGTGACTGGCTCTCCAAGGAACACTGCCCTGGCACCCAATCACCTCTGAGCCCCCCCAGCCTCCGGGGGGGGCAATTTCAAATTATGACACCCAGGTATACAGCACTCAGTACCTGGGGCTTGGCTCCTTGGGTGAGGTGTCCAGACATCTCTGCAGTGAAAATAACAGCACCACCCAGCACCATACTGAACCCATTGGTTTTAGCAGTTGAAGTTATTTCATGCCCCAGGTAGCCATAATGAAACACATCTGTTGCATGAAAATTATCCACTGCCAACTTGAGAGCAAAGCACAGTATGTCCAAATCATCTGTGTTCTCAAGACCAACTTTACCTCATAGAAGACTACATTAAACACCACGCATCATATCATCACCACCACTGCTTCAGTCACTCCAGAACTCACATGACATGCAAACACACCTAAAAATCCACTTTGAGGAGAGCAATGTCTTTAAACTGGGAACAGTAACTTTGGCAGTGATATTCCAATAACTACTACACTGAACGTTAGTAATATATAAATTATATATTCCAAATACTTTCACAAAAACAGGTTAAAGCACTTCTCTCAATCCTCTACAAAGAAAAAAGTTATAGAGAAAACAACTGTTAATTCAAGTCAGTTTTTAGCTTCATTTCTCTAGTTACATTTTCATAGTTCAATACACAAAAACATTATGACATATATGCAAATCTGATAATGTCAGGCAGGAAAGGTGAAATCCCTATATATGAAAGGTTGAAGTCTGACCTTCAAAAGGAGCCTGCAGCTGGCTTTTGTCATCTTTCTTCCTCTCCTTGATTTAATAAGCAGAACGCCAGTTTAAGGAAAAAGATGATTTTGACCACAACAGAAAAAGAACAGACCTCCCCATACTGAGTCAAGAATTCACCTTTTCTCTGGGGGAAAACACTCTAGCACTTTTCAAAGAAAAAAAGAAGAGGGGGTAGAAATAAAAATCAGATTTTCAGGTTTTCAGCTACAAAATTTTGGAAGTAAATAATAAGAAAAAAAGATAGTAATATAAAAGCATTTCCCACTAATTCAAACACATTTCAATTTATTTCCTGCTTTATTTCCCCATCTAATCTAGTATTTTCCATAGTTGCTGAAGTGGAAAACATTTTTGGAACTGCCACTCTTGTTTTGCAGAATAAAAGTAAATATTCTTTCTTCTCACTCTCCCAGCCCCTCAGATGATTGCTGTATGGTTTTCTGCAGCCTCAAGTAAAAGAGACACCTTTTACATATTAATGCCACATCCCTCAGGTCCAATAGGCTAAAAGTCCATGAATCTTCTTTTAAAAAAAGAAGTTACGTATTTTATTTTACTGGTTTGGGATGCTGAGAGCCCTTGAATCACTCTTTGAAAAATAAAGCTTATGATGTCACAGGGTGTCACACCCTTCATTTGTAGGGCTGTTGATCACTCGAACATTTCTCTTTCCCTGTCACACTCCCTCCTCGGAGCCCGTGCAGGTGCAGGGCTGTAACAAAATAACCCCTCCAGGTAACACCAGCCAACAGAGCATCAGCAGCGAGCAGCAACCTGGAGATGTGCATCCAGAGCTAAAACTGAGCTCTCCAGGCACCTTGAAATCCAGTTATGAGACTTGCACTGCAACAAACCCAAATGATCTGGGCACAGAGTATGAAGTGACTCAAACCCTCAGGAGAACTGAGAGCTTACACCTCTAAGGGTACATAGTACATTCACACACAAACCTCAGAGCAGGTTGCTATAAGTATATCCATTACAAAGAATTAAAGGTTGCAGAAAAAATTTCTTAAAGAGACCTTTTTGAACAATTCAAATGCATCAAAATGAACAGAAACTAAAATTTTATCAGCAAATCCTCACAAACAAAACATTCGGTCTAGAGGAGGCAATAGAATACCATCAAAGCACTTCTTTATTTTAGCAATGCTTTGGGGATGTGAGTGCTCCACATTTTCTTTTTGAATGTTGACTTGCCTAATTGAAATGCAGCTCATGTGGCACCCAGGCTTACTTCTGGATCACTAAGAAATTGGTCCGATTTAGAAATGTCAGGATCTGGTTAGCAATTCAAATGACCACAGTGGTAATTACGGCTTTTCATGTTCCTGCATGTTGCAGTGCATCAAAACTGACACAAATGCCGGGGTTTATAATATCACAGCATGGAAAAAAATGTTCAAAATTATATGAAAATGTGCTGGTAAGAGATTAATAACTGTTCTTCCAGGAAGAAAGATGGCTCTTTTCAACCAGTATATTTTAAAAAACACTTCTCTGATAGCATCTCTCCTTGAGGAAAACTGAATTATATTATCACTCATAAGCTCTAATAATTTCTGTCAGCACCAGTCAGAATATTTGAAGGAAAGGAGGAGGAGAAACAGGGAATAGGTTGTGGGAAAAATAGTGCAATCTTGTAAATAATTCCAGAGAGATACTACTTAAAGGTTCCCCTCCAGTATTTTGTTCGCTCTCCCACCTGGCAGAGCAGAACATATTTCAAGTGTTTTATTTTGATCATAAAGTGGAGGAACTCTGTGGATAGGGAGCAATGCATCATGAGTGATGTGTGCAGCCCCACGATCTGTGATACCAACGTGTCATTTTGAAATACGGGCCTAAAG